GCGGAGGGGGCGGGCCAATGCCTCCAGGCGTCCCTGGCGCCTGGGCTGGACGGCAAGGCTGCCCCCTCCCTCCGGCGGAGTACTCATCCTTTCTGCGGGGAGACCTGGGTCCCTCCCCACAAGCAGAGGCTGGGGTGCCCCTACCTCACTCAGGTGGACAAGGACTCCTACTCCTGTTTTAGTCTGGGAGTTTGGTCAACCATCCAGAATACCTTGGTGGGGGTTCCCTCTCTCCCCTGGATATCTCTTTCATCTGATGGGACCTGAAAATCCAAGGGTTGAATCTTGAGGAACCCAGAGCTCCTACCCCAGTAAGGACTGGGTGGAGATTTAGGTGGTGAGGCTTCTAGCTAGACATAAGGTGGGACTTCCAAACAGTTAAGATATGAGCCACTAGAATGAGAGATGAGAAGCTGAGCGGCTCTCTCAGAGAGAGGCCTCTATCTTCTTGAATGATGGAAGTTTCATTAGGGGAGAGAGATGCTGAGGGATGGGGCTAGCCAGACTTTGTAGGGGGAGAGAAGGAAAATGAAAGAGGTGAAAGAGAAACTGAGCTATGTGGGGGCAGGGGGAAGTCCAGAACAGTGGTTTTGGGGAGGAAGGTCCCATAGACGCTGGGGGCATCCCTGTCTTTGGTCTTTGGAGGTACTTGTGACCCCTGGGTGCCCCCTCCCCTCCTCCCCTAGCTTGAACTGCTCCCCTCCCCCGCCCCAGGCTCAAGGGAGATTCCAGCGGCCGCTGAGTCTGGCAGGCATGCTGCCAAGGCCTGTGTCTCCCGCCCATGCTAATAACTGCAGCTGACATCTGGCCGGGGCCCTGCGGGGGCGCAGTGGGCAGGGTTGGGGGGCTGGGCAGGTCTGGCCAGAGGGTAGCATCTCAGGAAGCCAACCTGTAGGTCCCACGGGCCAGGAGGCCACAGTGAGTCAGCCTTGGCCAGTGCTGAGGCTGGCCAGGCCAGGGAAGTCTTGGAGAGCTGCGAGGCTGGCCCAGAGTGGGTCGAGATGAAGGGAAAGGACCCAGCAAGGAAAAGTGGGTGTATGGGGGTGGGGGTCAGGGCAGTGAAAGATGGCCAGAGAGACAAACTGGGGGCAGGGTTAGCGTCATGCAGACAGACAGCAATGACACTTAAGATAGGCAAACAGACTGAGAAATAATAATTATTTTAATAGCTAACACTTACATGGCTCTTACCATGGACCAGACACTCTTCTAAGTGGTTTAAGTAGAGTAACTAATTGCCTGCTTCCAACCACCCAGCAAAATGCATGCTATGTATCCCCATTTAACAGATGAGAAAACTGAGGCACAGGAAGGTAAAGAACTTGCCTGATATCCCACAACTATTAAGTGCTGGAGATGTGTTATAACCTGAGCTGTCTAGTTCCAGAGCATTAGCCACTATACTGTGGATAATCACAGGCACAGAGGCTTTTATGTAGACCAACAGTATGCCAAGCTTTTCAGGCCCTTTCGAATAGGGTCTTCTTTAATCAGGAGAGAAATGGAGTTGGGCACATGGTGGAGGGGTGCTGGTGGGTGGGGAGACAGGCCAGCATTTGGAGTGGGGTTGGGTGGCTCCATGCATTCTGCAAGGGTGTTTGAGCAGGGGGTGGGGAACGGGCCAGCCAGGGAGGGCGGAGGCCCAACCCAGCTGGTACAGCCGGTTCCAGGCCCCTGCCAGTCTCACCCTTGTGGCCTGGGCACCACCCCCTCATGCCGCCCCACTGGCGCCAAGGCCCCCATGAGGAGGCTGTGAGGATAGCCCCCTCCCCCTCCTGCCCTGGGTGCCCAGATGCTGCTGGGGACTGCCCAGCCCTTGGGCTCCAGACCAGCATCTGGAGGAGGACTCCATGCCCAACCTTCCCCCACACCCAGGGGCCTAGGGCCTGGGGTGGGGACAGGGTTAGGGGGAAGTTCACCTACCCCCACCCACGGGTCTCTCTGGGGCTTTCGACTTTGACGTGAGGGACTTCTCCTTCTTATAAATAGTCTGGTGACCCCCTCCCCCTTGGCCCCACTGACTGGTGGGGCCCTCACTAAGAAACTGGGCCGGGGGGCTGCAAGTGAGTCAGCCAATAGGCAAGCCAGGGCGAGAACTCACAAGTCATAGCACCCAACCTCCTGAGTCCCTGCCCCTGGGTGTGGACATGCAGCAGGGCAGGAAGAGGCTGAGAATCACAGAGGTCCTCCCCCAGGAACCCCTGACATGCCAGCTACCTCCCTCCCCCACCTCTGTAGTTTGAGGGTCCCTCACCCCCTCTGCTGGAGAGGAAGCTGCTGGGTTTTCTTGGAAGCAGGAAGGAGAGGCTGTCTCCTCAGGCTGACTCAGCTGGGCATGAGGGGAGTTTCCCA